TTTACCAGTTGCTTTGCTGGATTCTTGAATCCAGTTTTTCATTTTGATTTTAATTTCCTTTTTCCTGAATTTCAACCCACTTAGTTTCCGTTAGTGTCTGTGGTTATAAGCATTTTGTGTTAAATGTCTGAACGTGTCTTTTTTCACAGTCATTTTTGAAAGACAGCTTAAATGGTTACAGACTTCTAGTTGAAAGTCACTGTCCACAACTCTTAAAGTATTCTGTTGTTGTAATGTGACATTTACTGTCTTTGATGAGACCTCAGTTGTCAATCTTATTAATTTATTCTCTTCCAATTAATGTGTGTTGTCTCTAAATAGCTTCTAAGGTTTCCTCTTTGTCCTAAATGTTTTGTTATTTAATTATAGTATATCTTGATATAATTTGTTTTTATTTATCCAGCTCTGGATTCAGTACTCAGATCATTAATTCTGGAAAAAATTCAGTCATTATCTCTTCAATTGTTGACTCTTCCTCATTCTTGTTCTTTTCTCCATCTAAAGTGACTATATTTGGGAAGGTTTTCTCATTTTAACCTTGTTAAAAATAAAATTTCAACTAAGTAAATTTGGAGATCTAATTGGCTTTCTTCAATGATTCATTAGTCAAGCAGCATCCCATTTTGCAAATAGAAGGGCGCTCTGAGGAGTTGTACAAAATGGAAGCTGTTTATAGGCAGAAGGAGGGTGGGGTAAGGAAGTTGTTAGCAAACAGAAAAGATTGGTTCAGGGCAGGACATCTTCTTTGGGAGGAAGGGAAGGCAGGGGTTTTATCCTGCAGATTTCCCCCCTAGTGCCAATCAGGAAATTTCAGATTGACTGTTAAAAAGATCACATTCCTGGGATAGGTTGAAACTGTAATTAAGTCTTAGTTTGCTATTGTGGGGGCTTTTTTGGGCCTGTTATTTCTTTTTAACAGGCTCCATGTTTCTTAACTGGGCTGATCATATACTATGCTGTTTCACTACTCTATCTGTCATTGATTTCCTCATATCAGTTTCCAAATTACCGATTCTTATAACAGCTATCCTTTTCTTGCCTTATTCCTGCCCTGATCTCTGTGGGGATCCTAAACATTTCTATTCAAGGGTTTTTTAAAATATTACCTGTTGATCTTAATGCATGAATTTTTTGCTCTGCTGTGCTGTGGCTATGGGCATTTAACACACAGTAGTTTCTAATTAAGACTTATGAGCTCATCCTCAGGGCAATGATTGTTCTGATGGGAATTCTGTACACCCTGAGTTGTAGAGGCATACATTAGGATGAGGGGAATGTTTCAAATTTGCCTGTCTTGGGGCATGAGTGTTTCATTATTTTCTATGCTTAGTTGTTCAAATTTGTAGGTGGTGGAATTGAGCAATTGAGGTCCTGCCGCTATATGTGGTACAGGCCTGGGGTTCTGCATCTCTAGGTGATCCTTTTCCATCTACATGGCTGAGACAATTTACCTGTTGCATTCCCAGTGGCCATAGCTTTTATTATCCCCATTTGTTACCAAACAAGGCTCATTTTGCCCACTTTGTGGTATGCCAATCACTAAGATGAGTTTGCAGGAAAGAAAGGATTTATTCACAAGGCAGCCAAGTGAGGAGATGGGAGAACAAGTCTCAAATCTGCCTCTCTGAACATGGGGATTAGGGATATTTATGGGAAGGAAAAGTGAGAGAATTGATGATCTGCATAAGCATAGTCAAGTTTCATGGCTCTTCACAAAATGGTGGCATTAGCATAATCTGAGGGTAAAGTTTTCAGCCCTCTGATGTCAAAGGATCATCTATTGGGCAGGCCCACATGATGAGTCCATGGTCTTAACCTGCCTGAACTGGACAAGGAGTTGACTAAAAACAACTTAAGCACCAGTACTGCGGTGACCCAAGCATCAGAGATGTTATCTCTACGGTGGGCTTTAGTAATGCATTATCTAACTACTTTTGCAAACTGACAATTAACTGAGTATAGTTAAAGCACGTTGGCCCCTGTCGCATTCAAGACGCCCAGGCTTGGGCTTCATTCTACCTTTCTAACATCTAAATATCTGTGCCCTCAATTTATTCCATGTTATAGTTGTTAAAACCACATCCCTTTGGGTGTAAGTAATTCAGATTCCCTTGTAGTCATTCAGTTTTTGCTCCTGTTTTCCCTCTGAACTTCTAGTTTCTTTGTTTTTTTACTGACAGCAGTAAAGCCTTTTCTGGCTGTCAATCTCAGTTGGGTATTACATTTTTGTGCTATTGTCTTCAGCTTTTCTGTGAACTAGAAAGGGGAAACTTTTCTTGTGGAAAAGAAGGGGGAAATTTTCCTGTCAGTTCAGTCTGCTAGATTGTCCAAAAGTAAATGTTTGTTTTAATTTGCAAAATGTAGCAATTTAAATATCAACAAATAAAAAGCTAGCTTGGATCCTGAAGGCCAAATTTAGGCATTCAGAGTCAAACTTATATACTGTGCTTAGAAGTGATAAAGAAAAAAAGCATCTCTGCTGTCTCGATACTTTTCCCCACTGGAAGATTTAAATTTTGCACTATATGTTGTACTTGGTGTTTAAATGAGAATGTTACTTATTTGCATGCCCCACATGTTAAAAGAGTTAGTTTTGATATTAAATGGCCTGATCATTTTTAAAGTGGGCAAGTTTCTTAGTATTAACTTTTAGACATTATTTTTGTTTTTATTAAATCCGGTTCAGAAAGTAGTACCCAAACATATACCAGCAGGTAGGCAACTTAGGAAGTGTTTCTTATAAATCAGTCTATGTTGGAAATAAGAATGAACAAATAATTGTTGAATATTTTTTTGAGCAGCCACAATTGATAAAGTATGACACTAAAAACAACTTATTTATATTTCCCATTCTAGTAGCGAGTATCAGTTAACTCACTTAATCTTGTTTCTTCTCTCTCTCTCTCTTTTTTTTTTTTTCCGCTGAGGAAGAGTCACCTTGAGCTAACATCCATGCCAATCTTCCTCTTATTTTGTATGTGGGTCACCGCCACAGCGTGGCTGCCAATGAGTGGTGTATGTCCATGCCTGGAACTGAACCTGGGCTGCCAAAATGGAGCGTGCCAAACTTAACCACTAGGCCATGAGGCTGGTCCCTGCCTACCTTTTTGATGTATAGGGAAAAACTAGTTAAATCTAATAAGAAACAAGATATTCATAATTATTTTGTGAAACTAACTCAGAAGCAGAGCATTTTGGCATCCTTTATGATAGGATACACAAAGGGAAATACTACTTTTTTGTTCAGATTACATTTATACTTACAAATTCAATATGAACAACTGAGTGAATGATTATCTCACTTAGGAGTAGATTCTTTAGAAGACAGTATCATAAACACACTAACATTCTACATTTCCCACAGCTCCTCAGCAGCCCACAATTGTGGTAACAAGGGTTCTCTGAATTCTTTTTAAGTTATTAGTTTTCCATTCTACAGTTGTGCTCTTGTGATCTTTCTGAAGTCATCAAATTTTTACTGGTCTGCTCACCTTCCTTTCTCACTTGTAGAGTTTTTGTTTTTGGGTATAGTCTGGCATTTTTCATTACAGTGTCTTCTTTTAGTTATATTCAATCCACTGGTATTCCAGCATATCCTTTATATCCACAGGTTAAGTTTTCAGGCTACATCACGACTTTATATAGTTTTTGTCCTCCTTGATGAAGTCACTCCCTCCATTAGGGAAGCTGTGGCATTTCTGTATCCTTTATTCTGTCTGTTGTCTTTGGATGTCTTCTAACATAATCACCCCTTTATGGATGTTAGTTACTTTCTCCAAACTAACTATGAAAAAAGCTTATTTTCTTTATTGTCTCCATCCTCTGTCACCATTATGAAAGGATTTGTGATATAATGTTCAAACACTGTAATTCTTCCAACCTTTTGCTTATCTAGCAGCATTACTTTTCCTCTGTACTCTGAAATCACTTGAGGGTAATGGCTATATGTATTTTGCTAACCAATTTATAGTTAGCATCTAGCAGAGTAAATACTCAATAAATAATTGTTTAATAAATGAATGATTATTCTTGAACTTTACATACACAATTAATGTTATCACTATTCCACTTGTCCCCTCACATTAACTCTCTTTATAGAAAATGTCACTCACGTAATCATCCTCTTCTAGAAGTGGTATTCAACTGGATTGAGAGATAGTCAATGGCATTATCTGTAGGAAAATATATATTGCATTTGAAGAATATAATTTGGAATTTTAACCTGTTAGTGTAGCTTGTGTTTAGCATATACCGGAAAAGCATCCTTGGATTATTCGTTCATGTAAATTTAATAAGCCAGGGAGACATAGTTGCTGTGATTTACTGTTATAACATCCATTGTATTTTCTTTTTTTTCCCTTTTCTTTTAAAATTTTTCTTTTCAGTATTTGTTTTTAATTGGAAGCCAGTGGGAGATGTTGGTAGAAAGAACTCCTTGGGTAAACACTATCAAAACAAGAATTTTTTTAAAAGCTGGAAAACCAATGGGTTGGACATGTCAGTAGACTTACAAGTTTAGATACACAAATCCCTTTATTGGTTTGGAGGAGAACTAACTGTGTTACATAGGGGTATTTTCTGGTCAGAGTAGTAGGAAAAATATACCATAAGTTTTGAAGTATAAAGTAGCAGAAGTAAAGAAAAGATGGGAAGGGTAAAGATATACCACTCTTATCACTGAATTGTCTTACTGGTCTTTCTATCTATATTGTCTTCTCTGTCAATTAACCTCACTTAATTTGTCTTCAATTTATTAATTTTCTCTCTCATTCTTTTGGTTGGGGGATCAGAAATAAGAAATTTATGGACATAAAAGTGGAAAGAAGGCCCAAGAATTTGATTTTGACTTTTGGTAATAGTTAGTATAAAAATAGAAACTGGGCAGATACTTCTTTTATATCACAATTTTGAAAGGAAGAGGATAGAACTGCCATAAAAAAATATAACTTTGTCGGACTGTATTGTATCAAACTAAAATCATTGTTTCCTTATTTATTTAGATTCAAATCACAGGAAAGCACCCAAACACATAACAGTAGGTAAATATATTAGGAGGTGTCTCTTAAAATAATTATGTTTGAAATTAAAATGAAATAATAATCCACAATTAATTCATAAGTATTTATTTGATAGATGAATTGGTAAAGTACTGCACCAAAAATAATTTACTAATTTTTACTAATCTTGTTATTAATGAATGTTTAAATCACTTAGTCTTCTTTCTTCAGTTTAGTAAAGTTCTCTTAAGTTTGTTGGGAACTTGCTTTTGTGGATAGAATGGAATTAAAGAGTTGATTATAATATGATATAAGGCACGAAAATTAGTCTATCAAATGAACTCAAAATCAGGGCCACTTTACCTGTTAGGCACTGCAGGCACAATACCTAAGGCCTATGAGTTTCCAGATGCCAAAAACAAAACAAAAGAACCCAAAAATGATTGGCTGCAAGATATAGAAAAAATAAAATTAATGTGTATTTAAATTTCTTAAAAAATGCAAAGATTTAATGTAATTGTTATGTTCATGAACATTTCATTGTATATGGAAAAAATGTTAGATTTTCTCATTTGTAAATATTTCTGACTACATATGATGGTTCCCCAAAAATCACAGAAAATTGTGGAGTAAATAAGTTTCAGCCAAATAATCCACAAGCAAAACTGCAAAAATTCTTGCTAGAATTATTTTTTCTGCCATATGAAGTTCTTGCTTGTCAGTACCCCAACGGTTTGTATGTTTTACAGTGGAAGGGAATGTGTTTGCTATCAGTATCTTAAGCATGTGTGTCTTTGTTCTCTTCCACAGTAACTAGTAATTCCTTCAGAAGGCAATGGATATCACCGAGAGTCTCACTCAGAAATGAAAATTCCGCCTTTCCTCCCCTAACCACAGCTGAAGGAAACAATAAATGGAGTGTGGACCAATTTGCATGCATGTCTCTTTTTCTCTCCCACCTCTGAGGCTGCCATTCTGCAATTTCAGGGCCCTTCACTGAAGACAGTCATCTCAACTCAGGCATCTAAATCCCCACGTGGCTCCCTGAGCTCTTCTCAGCAGCTCTCCCACCACCCACTCGGGTTTACTGCCTGGGGCCCCATGCGCTGGGGAGCTGTATCAACTGTCCTTGCTCAGGAAGGGATCTGGGTGGTGGGCCACGTTCCTCTTCCTGGGCCTTCTCACCAGACTTGGCTGGCTGCATAGTGGTCTGCATTAATCCTGTATTAGCCCACCTCACCGTCCGTCCCCACAACCTCAACCAGGGCTTCTAAGGGAGTCTGTGTTTGCTTTGGGGGCTATACTTTCCCGTCCAGGCCTCTTGCTCTACCCACTACCTTTCTCTTGCCCCTCTGCTAGGTGACCTGCAGGGTGAATCCCAGAAGACAGAAGGACCCTGAGAGTTTCGGCTTCGGTCTCAGGGACAAAGATTAAGCCTGTATCAGAGTTTGGTATCAAGATTGATAAATAAAGTTGGGAAAAAGTTCTCACATTTTCCATTTTCTGGAAGAGTTTCTATAAAACTGTAGTTTTTCCATTAAATATTTGGCAAAATTCACCAATGAAGCTGGAATTTTCTTTGTGGGAAGATTTTTAATTATGGATTCAATTTCGGTAACACTTAGAGGATTATTCATGTTTTCCATTTATTCTTGTGATAGTTTTTTCAGATATTGTAATCTTAAAAGAGTTTATCCATTTCATTTAATGGTCAATCTTTTGGCATAAAGCTGTTCTTAATATCCTTTTTAAAGTCTATAGGATGAATAATTATGTCCCTTCTTTCATTTCTGATCATGATGATACTTGTTCTCTCTCTGCTCATTCTTGATAAGAGTTTTTCTGTTTAATTAATCTACTAATCTCTTCAGACCACGTCTTGACTTTGTTGTTTTTCTCTTTTGCATCTCTGTTTTCTGTTTTATTGATTTCTGCCTTATTTAAAAATTTGCTCTTTTCCTAGCTTCTTCAGGTGAAAGTTTAGATCATTGATTTAAACCTTTTCTAATTCATTTAAAGGTAGAAATTTGCTGTATGTACCTCTCTAGCTGCATTTAATGAATTTTGATATGTTGTATTTTCATTATTCTTCAGGTCAAAGTATTTTTTAATTTTTATTTTAATCTCTGAGTTATAATTACTTAGAAGTGGTTGGTTAATTTCCAAATATTTATATATTTTCATTTTAATCTTTTCTTATTGATTTCTAGTTAATTCAGTCATGGTCAAGGAACATACTTAGATGATTTCAATCCTTTGGAATTCTTGTTTTGCTTTTATGATCCAGTTTATGTTCTATTTTGGTGAATGTTCCATGTGCACTAAAAAATGTGTATTTTGCAGTTGGTGAAAATATAAATGTCCATTAAGTCAAGTTTGTTAACTGTCTTTGAAATTTTTTTAATGTTTATTCCCCCTTATTTTGTCATCTCCTGAGAGAATTAAAATTGCCAATTATTATTGTTGTAGATTATCTGTTTTATGTATATTATTTGTGTTTCATGTATTTTGAAGTTATATTTTAGGGCATCTATTTTTAAGACTGTTATGTTTTCCTGATGAATCGACCCTTTATCATTACACAATTCTCCTTTTCATCTCTAGTAATACTCTTAGTCCTGAATTCTACTTTTTCTGATATTAATGTAGCCATGTCAGCTGTTTTTACAGTTAGTCTTTTCCTGGGATATCTTTTTCATCCATTTACTTCCGATGCAGCTTTGCTTATATTTAAGATGTATCTGCTGTAACAGCATATAGTTGGGTCTTGTATTTATTTTTTAATCCAGTCAGACAATGTTTTTAAATTGGAGTGTTAAAAGCATTTATATTTAATATAATTTCTGATACTGTTGGTTTTAAGTCTACTGTTTGCTTATGTGTTTTCTATTTGTCCCACATTTCTTTGTTCTTTTGTTCTTTTCCTTGTGTTTTTCTTTTAGGTTAATTGAGCATTAATCTGTTTTATCTTCTCTATTGGCATTTTAGCTGTCCTTTATTTATATTATTAAAATTGTTGGTGGCTACTCCAGAGATTACAATATGCATCCTTAATTTGTCACAGTCTTCCTCACATTAGAATTATCCTACTTAAACAACAAAAGAACTGTACAACAGTATGATTCCTATTACCTCCTCCTGCTCTTGGTGCTACTATATTTACTTCTACATATTTTATAAATGCCACTCATACATTACTCTTATTTTCACCTGAAACAGTCAAAAATGTTTTCAAAACATTTAAATAGCCTTTTCCCTGTACTCACGTTTCCCCTTCCTGTGCTCTTCCTTTGGCCTCATAGACCTTTGTTTCCATATAGGGTCACTTCCCTTAGCTTGAGTAACTTTCTTCAGTATTCCTTACAATATGCTTCTCATGATGACAAGTTCTTTCAGCTTTTTTTCTGTATGAAAAACCCTTAATTTTGGTAAGATATGATCATTGCACATAGAATTCTAAATTGTCATTTTTTTTCTTTCAGTACTTTTAATCTATTCTGGATTTCGTTATTTATAATGAAAAGTCAGTTATTATTCTTTTAGGTATACTGGATTATAATGTATCTCCCCTCCCTGCCCCCAGGTACTCCTAAGATTTTTTCCATATTTTCGGCTTTGGGAATTTTGATCATGATGTACTTAATCATGATGGTTTTCTTTGAATTTACCCTACTTTGTGTTCGACTAACTTCTTGGGTCTATTGTTTAATGTCTTTCAGTAATTTTGGAAAATTCTCAGCCATTAAAAAGGTCTTCAAGTATTTCTTTTTCCCAATCTCTCTTTGTTCTCCTTTAGGGAACTCCAATTATACATTTTCCTATTCATTAGATATTGGCTCTTAATTCTATGAAATTCTATTCTATTTTTCATTTTTCCCTTTTTAATTGTTTGTATAATTTCTCTTGACTTAATCTTAAGCTCACTGACTCTTTCTTCTTCTATGTCCAGTCAGCTATAAGGCCTTCAATTTGGTTCTTTTTTTAGTTTGAAATTGAAACTCTGTTGAAATTATCCCTTTTTTTCATCTCTTTTTGTCTATTTAGTTCCCCAAATTCTGTAACATTTGTAATAGTTATTTCACAGTTCTGATCTGCTAATTCAAATACTCCCATTTTAATGTGCTTGATATATGCCCTTGGATATGTGTTGTTTGGTATGCGTTTTCATCATCATATCATGCTACATATTTGATCCATTTTTTATTTTACTATTTTCAACCAATACTTATGTTTGTAGTCTTCAATCCATGTGGGGATATATATATGTACATGTATATACAATATTTCATTCCATCTAACTGCTTCATATATTTCATAATAGATGTCTATTAAATTTTCTTCTCCATTTCCTCTAAGTGATTAACAGCTAGATTGCTTACAGCTCCCCACTATCACAAATAACACTGTTCACATCCTTGTTCCTGATAGTAAAAACCTTTGCAAGACTTTCTCTGGAGTATTTTTTGTGTACAGATGGATGTATATTGGCTAATTATTCTGTCATGTGATCACCACTCCACCCAATATATAGCATATTTCCATCACTCCATAAAAATTCCCTTGTTCCTGTTTGTAGTCAGTTCCTTCCCCTCTGCTAGTCCCAGGCAACCAGTGATCTGTTTTCTGTCACTACAGTCTTATCTTTCATAGTATTTCATATACATGGCATCATATATGTGAGGGCTTTGCCCTGTCTGTGGATCCCTAGCTTTCAGAGTTCCCTTCCTTTTAATTTCCAGTTTCTTTGAGAGCCCTAAGTGTTGCTCTTTGAAACCTCAGTCCAGAAAGCTCCCACTTTTTGCTGCCTGAACCCATGTGAAGTCTGGGCAATACACTCAGTCAAAGTCAGAACACTCACAAGTCCCACCAAGAACAGTTCTGTCCTTCAATAGTAGACTTCCATCTTTCTGCTAGCTTTTTTGCTAGGCTTTCTGGGGTCTCCACATACATACCTAGCTCGGTGGTCAGCCAGGGATTTGAATGAATTTATTCTCAAATTTTGGATCTTAGCCTTTCTCTGTTCTCTTGCTTCCAGAATTTATGCTTATATTTTCTTTTTTAAAAAATAAAATTGTATATATTTAAGGTGTACAACATGGTGATTTTGATATACATATACATTGTCAAATGATAACTACAGTCAAGGTAGTTAACATATCTATCTCCTCACACAGCTACCATCTTTTTGAGTGGTGAGAGCATCTGAAATCTATGTCAGCAAATTTCCGGTAGTCATTACAGGATTATTAAATATGGCCATCATGTTGTACATTTGATCTCTAGATTTGTTCATCTGACATAATGATGTTTTTGACCAACATCTCCCCATTTCCGCCACCTCCCAACCCTGGTAACCACTGTTCTATTCTCTGCATCTATATATCTGACTTTTTTAGATTTCACATATGAGTGAGATCAAGCAGTATTTGTCTTTCTGTGTCTGTCTTATTTCACTTAGCATAATGTCCTCTAGCTTCATCCATGTTGTCACAAATGAGAAGATCTCCTTTTTTATGGGTGAATAATGTTCCACTGTGTGTGGGTGTCTATACATTTTCTTTCTTTATTCATCCAGTGATGTAAATTTAGGTTGTTTCCATACCTAGGCTATTAGGATTAATGCTTCCATGAACATGGATATGCAGATATCTCTTTGAGATACTGATTTCATTTCCTTCAGATATATACCCAGAAGTGGGATTGCTGGATTATATGGTAGTTTTTATTTTTAATGTTTGAGGAACCTCCATACTGTTTTCCATAATGGTGTATCAACTTATATTCACACCAACAGTGTATCAGGGTTGGTACAATTTCTCCACATTCTTGCCAACATTTATCTTTATCCTTTTGGTAATAGGCATCCTAACAGGTATAAGGTGATATCTCATTGTGGTTTTGACTTGTATTTCCCTGATTATTAGTGATGTTCAGCACCTTTGCATGTACCTGCTGGGGATTCATAAGTCTTCTTTGGAAAAAATGTGTATTCAGTTCTTTTGCCTATTTTTTAATTGGATTATTAGGGGGGTTTTTTGCTATTAAGTTTGAGGTCCTAATATATTTTGGATATTAACCCCTTATCAGATACATTATATACAAGTGTTTTTTTCCCATTCCATAGGTTGCCTTTTCATTTGTTGACTATTTCCTTTGCTGTGAAGAAGCTTTTTAGTTTGCTATATCAAGAGAGAAAAAGGATAAAAGAATGACAAGACAAAGAGAAAACTCTTTAAAAAAATGACAATAATAAAGCCTTACCTATCAATAATTACTTTAAATGCAGATGGACTAAACTTCATCATAAAAAGATACAGAGTAGCTGAATGGTTAAAAAACCAAGATCCGACTGTGCACTATCTAAAGGAAACTCACTTTACTTTGAAGTTCACACACAGGCTGACAGTGAAGGGATGGAAAAAGATATTCCACACAAATAGTAACCAAAACAAAGCAGGAGTGGCTATATTTAAATCAGACAAAGTAAACTTTAAGCCAA